TTGGCCTGGGTAGCTACTTGCGTGCCCATGTTTGCCATAGCTGCCCAGGCCCTTCATATTGCGTTGTTTCCCAATAGTCGAGCTCTCTCTCTCCAATAATCTCGCTCTCTTCAATAATCTCGCTCTCTTCCATAATCTCTTTCTCACTCTTCAATGTAGTCGTTTCATTCGTCCTGGTCTTAGTCATCCCGTCTCTAATAAATGTCGTTCCCAATAACTTGTTGTCCGTTGTAATGTCTGGAGAAGATGTCGGCAGTCGTCCTTGTTCGTACTCAACAGTACCAAACATAAGCCTATTGACCTGGCTGTGTGGAGCATATAAATATCGTCCACCGAGTACAACTGTCGACTTCTGGAACTTGTGCTGTCCGCATCTTGATGTCACCGGCCGCAAATTTCACAGTGTTATTGTGCTAGGGGACTTAACACTTATGTGCTCCAAGCAACAGCCAACAACCACCATTACAAACACCTGTCCAATCTGTGTGAGGAGTTCCACTTCCGCAATGTCGTGACTTCACCAACGCGACTTGCCAAGACATGTCTGGATCTAATACTCGTTTATGCTGCCGCACCACATGTTAAGACAACTGTAGTATCTGTAGACGGTGTGAGCGACCATGATCTCGTTCTGACTAACTTCTCCTGCAAAGCCACGCCGCAAGCTAGCTCCCGCCTCAAAATCATGCGCAAACTGCTCCCACGTGCAATTGATCCTGCTGCACTGTGTGATGATATCGAAAGCACTCTGCAGCCTCTCCCCAAGTCAGCTGATGTCAATGCACACGTCACCCAGCTTTCAGACTGTATTACTCGAGTTTTAGACAAACATTCACCAATCTGCCCTGTGGTCTCACCAGCTTTCAGTAAGCCGAAACCTCAGCCATGGGTGACACCTCAGTTGAAACATCTCCTCCAGCAACGAATCCACCTACATAGAAAGGTACGCACTCACCTGTCAGACCAACAGCTTCTCCAGAGGTATCGCGCAATACAGCGAGAAGGCACTCTCCTCAACAGGCTGCTGAAGTCACAGTATAACATCGGAGAGTTCAAAATTCGTCACCATAACCCACGAGGCCAATGGGCCATTATCAATAGCTTGTGTATTAGAACAGCAGTGAGGGCTGCACCAGCAGCCACACTAGCTGATCTGATGACGACCTTCGCCGAGATCGTCCATGATCCTGCCAGACCAGTCGAGCTGCCCCTACCCGTTGCAGACCCCAATGGCGCTACCCTTTTGGAGTTTGATACCGCCAGCTTGAATCTCTGGCATCCAACAAGGCCACCAGCTCCGATGATATTCCCTCCTGCATCCTGAAATCCTGCAGAGATGCAGTCTCCTATCCCCTAACTGTTATTGTCAACCAGTCCCTTCGCTCTGGCATCTTGCCTGCTGCCTACAAATTTGCCCATGTCTGCCCTGTTTACAAATCTGGTGATAAGACCTCAGCCACCAACTACAGACCAATCTCACTGTTGCTTATCGCTGCCAAGATCCTAGAGAAGGTTGTCCAGAAGCAAGTCACTTCGTATTTCACCTAGAATCCAGACCTATCGGCCATACCAGCTGAACAATTTGCGTACCACTCACATCACAGCTGTGAGGATGCCCTGACACTTTGCATAGACAGGTGGAACAGAGCGCTTGACAATGGTGACCAGTATGGAGTAGTCTTTGCGAATATGAGCAAGGCATTCGACCGTCTGCAGCACACCAGTCTACTGGATGAGCTAGCCACTATTGGCTTAAGTGGCACTGTCCCCAAGTGGTTCTCAGGCTATCTCACGAATCGCAGCCTGCAGGTTATTGTCAATGGTGAGAAGGGTAACACCAAACCCTGTACAAGAGGAGTCCCCTAGGGGTCTGTTCTTGGGCCATTTATTTTCTGCATCTACATTCGCCGCGTTTCCGAAATATTTCACCAGTGTGTCGTGCAGCTGCACGCTGACGATGTTGCGTTATACGCAATACCTCGATGAGAAAGGCCTTCTGCTCAACCACACTAAGATGCAGTTCATGTTGATACGGCGCCCTGCCCTGCCTGCACTGAGCCCAGCCCTGTACCTGACCTGAAAAGGTATTGTCATTGTCTCTACTGTGAAATACCTCGGTACACTAATCGATGAGCATCTAACGTTCCGCCCACAAGTCGAAAAGGTGTGCTCAGCGGTCTTCGCTAAACTAGCCTGTTTTGCTCATGGCCGTCGCAATGTATCAGCTACAGCTCAGAGAAATTTCTCAATTGACAGTCTACTCTAGAATATGCAAGTAATGCGTATGTGCATTGCTTGAAAACTACCCTATATAACAGGCTTGTAACGGTCAGCCATATTGCGATAAAGAAGGCATTAGGTTTAGATAGAATGACCACCACTGAATTAGTTCTACAACGGTGTCATCTGTATTAGTTTGAGCAAAGAGTTAATTTGAAACTAGAATTATATTTTGATCTATCGCTGCTTGTCATCCATTGCTAGCCCCTCCTTCAATCACTGTTTCTCCTGCGTTCAGCTGGCCCGCACAAAAATGCTCGTACTCGTGGCCAGGACACAGCTGCCTTAGTATTACCTACTGCACATATTGGGTATGGACTGCGCTCAGATTCTTTTCTGGCGGCAGGTCGGTGGAACCCTCGTCTTCCAGACTGTCGTGAGGCACAATCTGCTAGTACTTTTGCTCACCTCACAAAGATTCACGTAGGGTTCCCTGTAACAAAGCCATGCCTGTTGGGATTCCCCTAGTCAAATAATAAATACTACTGCTACTACTGTAAAGGAAAAGGACATATGGATACGAGTTAAGAGTAACTCTCCATCACTGTAACCAGATACTATTATACAGTCAGAAAGTGCAACAACTAGGCACAAAACTGACAGAGTACTGAGACATTCACAGTCATAGTCCAGTAACAATCGACATTCTTTGTTCCGTTGGGACTGTAGCTTGTGCTCGTTTTCGTTGCACTTGTCTTCCCCTCTTTGGTATAACCAGAACCTTGAACCTTCCAAGTGTTATAATAAACCAGCAGTAGTACCCATGACCCATGATGCTACATAATCCAGATACAGAACCAACAAAGCCACACTTAAAAATAATGGAGTTGAGATTGGGTTCAATCATGTCGTGACCTGGTTCAAACTATTACTGATTTATTACCATTGGGAACTATTGCATGGACAGCATCTTGATGCTACAATCTGTAAGATTCTCTACAACACACAGCTCTAGCTGTGTGCTCTGTGCACAGAAGTCCACTCCAAGTCAAACACTCATTGCAAACATATCCAGAATAATTACTTCCAATAACTCAGTCTCACTTCCCAACTTGTCCCGACTGGGCACAGAACAATAACTAATTCAAAAGGCAAACAAAAACAACTCTATCACGCCAGGATAAGGAAATATGATAAACGGGGGGCTGGTTCAATTCAATTGTAGCGATATGTGTACCTGAAGTAGCTGAGTACAACATATGTATAGCATTCTAGCAGCTACCTGTTGTTGTTGTTGTTGTTGTTGTTGTTGTTGTTGACTTTTATTTTACTTCACCAATTGCACAGGCATGATTGCCTTCTTACCGGCCCATAGGTCCGGTTCTCACAGAAAGATGAAGGAAATTGTATGAGGAAATGTATAGAGATAAAGACATGCAAGCGGTATAATATTATTGTCAAAATGTTTGTTATACCATTGTGTGTATGCTGACACTCAATTTGTGTGAATTTTTTTAAATTGTGATAACAAATAATATGTGGTGGAAGCATTTCATGAAAATAGATGTGTGAACATTGGCAGACTTTGTTGGATGGGCACAATTGTTAGCAGTCCAGAGAACATGAGGTACAGCGAAGGGTGTTTGACTGTTGGCATAGAGTTTACAAGTTAAGTACGTCAATATCAGATAGGCGATGAAACGACTCAAAAACGGAAAGGCTTGTGGGCCGGACAAAGTCCCTGGAGGATTACTGAAGTATGGAACATCACAGCTATCCATCGTAGCGGCAGACATCATCAACCAAAGCGTAGCAGAGGGTGCCGGCATGTCATCGTTCATCGGACTTGGCACACTGATTCCTTTACAAAAACCAAAAAAAACCTAGAGGATCCGTGACTAGCCTGCGTCCCATTGTCCTCCTGAACACCATCCGAAAAGGTTTCTCCCTTGTAGTGCTCTGCCGAATCGCAAAGGACGTTGCTCGTTATGTTGGTCCAACTCAATCTGGCTTCAGACAAGGCCGAAGTACAACAGATGTGGTATGGACACAGCGCTGGATTGCGGCCAAGGCGACTCGATACAACTGGGAATGCCACATGCTGGGGATTGATATGTCCCGTGCGTTCGACATGATTGATCGCACCAAACTGTTAGACGTCATGGCATTAGTGACTGGCCCCGATGAAGTGCGCATGATCCAGCACCTACTGTTCCACACACAAATATCAGTGAAAGTAGGAAAGGCAACTGCCAATCCGTTTCTCAGCACCCCCCAGGGAGATGGCCTGAGCCCTGTTCTTTTTATTTGTTTCCTGGAGGCAGCACTGAGCCAAGTGAGAGAAAACCTTCCCGAACGCCATTTCGCCGACCGTCACATACCTGGAGAAACAGGTTACGCCGATGATGTGACGTTGTACTCAACCAGTGAGGAGTGGCTGAAGTGAAGCCTCCCCATCATTAGCGCAGAACTCGGGGATTAGTCCTTAACAGTAAATGAGACCAAGACCGAATTCTTGCATCTGACATCAACTTCAGACTCCTGGCGGTCCAGCAGGCAGCTAGGGTCCCTCATTGGCGACAGTGAGGACTTGGAGCGGAGGAAAGACCGAAGGTGTGACAGCAAGTTTGTCAGCATGGCAGAACACCTCAGGCTGTGTGTCATCTGTTACCTGATGCGCACATCATACATGCGCGTAGCCAAAGAATTCCAACAAAAGTAGCATAGGGTCAAATACAACGTAAATTCAAACATAAGCAATCGCTTCGTGACAAATCAGACTTACTTTTCTGAACAGGTTCTGAAGTTAGAACATCCGATCACCACAGTAAGGAAGAAGTAATTGGTGAGGACCATGTGTGTTTGGAAAGTTACACAGGAATGTTGGAGCAGAAATTGTTCGAAAGGAAAAGCAGAAAAGGCAATGTAACATAACACGATCGGTTAGAAATATGCATACTAATTGCAACAGTGTGGCAGGGTACTGACCAGGGCAGCAAAGAATAGTGGTGATTGATTAGAAAAGAGACTGCCAAAATATCATTAGTACCAAACCTTAGAAGGATATGTATGCCAGATGCATACATCACTAAATGACATCCTTTAACCCATGATATTTATTTATTTGTGCCTTTTCAGATAGAAATATTTACGATACTTCTCCAGACGTTTTGTTGTTCCGAAAAACATCGTCAGTGGATAGAAAATATTTCTTACTGACTTGTCAGTTTGAGCACTCTGGCAAGGTACGTTCGGGCCTGGTTTAAATCTGGCTTTGGAAATATATAGCTATGAATAGGATGAAGGCCACAGACATTAAGCAACTACGTTACTTGTTTGACATGTATTACTGTGTATTTTATAACAAAAATATTATTGAAAACGATTTTCTCGTTCCTATTATCAGTGGGAAAAACGGAACTAAGGATACAACCAAAGAAACTGAAGTTAAGTACTGTAAATAGAAAGGTGTTAGAAATAACATCAAGATACAGGTGCAATAAAACCACTAGAGGAAACGCAAAAAAGTTGCATGATGTCTGCGGCCTTCATCCTATTCATAGCTATATTAAAATTATTATCTCCACTTAGGTTATTTGGAAATATATATTTTTCATTGCTACCAGGTTTGGCCTCATTTCCTCTGTGCTGCGCTGACGAGTCCACAAAGGACGAAACAGTTTTGTCCGCAGCTTGAGTATCTTTATTTATCATATATACCAGTCTTTTGTCTAGAAAGAATACTTTTTTTCAATAGGTAGTGTTGTACACTCCAACTGTGTTGGTTTCAGGATTATACTTTCTATTTCAAGTGTACATAATTGGTGACTGATGGACTACTTCTGGCTGGACTAACTCTTCTGTAATCAATGCTGCCAGTGAATCATTCATCAGATCCTCCCCCAGTTAGCCACACGCACTAGTAGCAAGTATTACCTTCACTGGGGGCTGGGGTGAATGCAGTTGGATTCCGGGACGGATACCTTGATGCCATCAATCCCTTTTCTGCACCTTTTCCTCGCCAAATTACTGAAATGTGGTGAGCCCATAAGTGGGTTAGTCCACCCAGAGTTTGGGGATTCAATGGGGTTTTGGCCATTGACGAATTGAGTTATCTATCCCAGATTCCTGTTGTATCTTTCACCCCTCTCCGGGGGAGACCCACGTGACCAGTCATGTCAGTGATTAAGCACAAAGTCGAAAGTAGTAAATGATGTAAGTATTAACTGGTTTGAGGGAAAGACACAAACTGGGAAATGTAAGTATGCACTTACTTTCACAAGTGAACTCTAGGTCCGCCGTACCACAGGTACATAGGTGAGATGTGAAACTGGGCTTGCAGCTTCTAACAGCATTGTGCAAGACAGAACCAACTTCTGGTTGCGCTGAACATAAACAGCCAATTGAAAAAAAGAAAGTAAGTATATCGTGGAATGAAAGGAGAGTTTATGATAAAATGTAGAGAACCTATAGCAAACAAAACATCAGGTAACCAGAAATGAGATAAAATCCTAACCAGAAAGCGCACTTGCAAACATCAACATGACTAAGTACGACCGGCTGTAGGGACTGGGCGTGGTGGTTTGTGGACGTTATTGTGAGAGAGTGCGTCCTTCTGGTACCGGCGGTGCGGACAGTTGCGCTGGACGTATCCCACCTCATTGCAGTTGAAGCACAACACACTGGACTGGCGAAGTTCCGGAGCAGCAGCGGCAACAGCTCCCGCTGCACTGGCACGCTTGCGGCAGGGGTCGTCCGTAGATCTCAGAGCACGGACTTTGGCGACGCACTTAGTGACATTCAGGTCTGACTCCGTACTCGCCATGTGCACCTGACGTCCATAATCCAAGGACAGGCCATTCAACAATTGCTCGAGCAACACCATATCCTTGTCATGGGCACATGTGTGACCGGACAGCACCAATAAGCGCTTCAGGTCGGTGACGTACGCATCCACAGGCTCATCGTCCCGGAGCATCCGCGCTTTAAATTGTCGGAACGCATCCTCCGGGGTCATGGTGATAGCAGTCTCCAGGGCCTTCTTTACTGCTTATTGACTGGCCTTGTCAGTATCAGACAACTGCTCATACAGGTGGAAGGCATCAACATCCAAAAACAATGGCAACGATGCCATGCGGTCGGTTTCAGTCGACAATTTCTGTAGTCGGCACAGAACCAAAAACTTCCTCCAAAACAACTGGAAGTCCTCGCCTTTTCCTTTAAACGCTCTCAAGTAACCATCCATGTTGATGGATGCCATGGTTACACTGCCACTGCACTGGTGTAGCTCAAACCAACACCACAAACACTAAAAAATACTAAAATTCACTCGACTGCCTCCTGCACTGGTTCCACACGAGCACTCGACCGGTCCTGATGCTCTGTTCGATCGGGTTTCGGTACCACTTGTTACTGAATTGTTACTACTACAAGTACCTTAATTAACCACCCCTGCATCCAACCCTTGGCATGCTACAATGTGGGTGAGAGAATACATACAGTAGATTCAGTATAAAAATTGGAAAGACAATCATCGAAAGAAGGAAAAAGGCAGCTGCATCAGCATGCAGCTGCGCATCAAAATCAAATGTAAAGATGGCGACCATGAACGACTGCGACGTGGATAAACTGCAAAACAAACTAGTGCAGTGACACTGACTCGACTGAGTAAAGAAGCGGAGAAGACGAAAACGGCAAGGAAAGCGGATCGCTACGATCGCTCAAATGCACTAGCCTAGAGCATGCATAGCACATGCAGTGAAATGGTCACGTGATAAGTGCTTACACAAATCATACGTCATAATGCAGTAGACAAAAAAAAGAAAACAAAGCTGAGCGCGAGCAAACAAGTCTGCAGAGCGGGAAAAATATAAACACATTGAAGGAAGGATTTGTTTGAGAACAAAATGCACAGGCAGACAAAGAAGAAACAGTTTGAAGCTAGAATCAATGTCCGTGTTTCTTAGAATCAATCATGGAGAAAGCTACCTAAGACTAACTACCTCTGTCACGCAAGACCGGACCTAAACACCTACGAAGTAAGAATTGATGTGTTACGAGAAATACGTGTAGTGAAACGAGAGAGCTTGGAAGCTCAGGGCCCTACGCTATGCTTTTTTGCCTTGATGACCTAGACAAAAAAAGGCATAGGGATGTTATAAATTCTTTTAAAAAATCCTTTTTTTTAAGACATAACCTGGGATTCGAACCCGCACTATCGCCCTGCATGCATTCCCCCATACACTTCGCATTCATATCCATTCTTCCAAGTTGCTTCACGTTATTATCTTGCGTTTGTAAGCCCTATTTGAATATTCATTGTTGCCAGCCGTCTTTGATGGCACGGTACGGTAGGGGATAGGTACGGGACAGGTACGATCGAGGGTAATACGACACCGTCTCCCGTACCGTACCGTACCATCAAACACAGCTGGCCACATACAGCTGCCCGCAATATTCAAATAGGGCTTTCAAACGCAAGATAATAACGTGAAGCAACTTGGAAGAATGGGTATGAATGCGAAGTGTATGGGGGAATGCATGTAGGTCGATAGTGTGGGTTCGAATCCCAGGATATGCCTGAAAAAAATAGGAGAATTGAAAAATTTATAACATCCTATGCTTTTTTGCCGTCAGATACGGATAGCGCCAGGCGTGACACAAACAAACAAACACACAAACAAACAAATACCAGATTAAAGCTGTGTGGACCCTGGCTAGCGCCAGACGTTACTGAAGTAACGTCTTCTGCATAGCTACGGGAATAAATATTAGTATGCATTGCATCATGACACAACTTGCCAAGCTGCATGTCATCATCATCATCATCATCATCTGCGTTGCCGAAAAAATAATAAAAGTAAAATTTTAAAAATAATAATAAACGGCATTATGCAGCTGTGTAAGCTGCATGTACGTGATTGTAAATGTACAAACAACATGCAACGTCGTAGTTAGAACAATCCTAACTCATGAATTCCGTGTTGTTGACTCAAGGCAAGCAGTACCTCGTTTACACGCTGACAACGACGAACGAATTGATTAGACTCTGATAATAAATACTAATACTGATATGAAAGAACAACATGTCAGGCGAAATAGCACGTCATAGTACATTTGAGATCAGCGGGAAGAAGATGACGACGTCCACTAATTTAGTATCTGTGCACACGAATCTGCTGTGTGTGTGACTCTGTGTGTCAGCTATGATATCATCTTCTGTGGTTCCATGACTAGCAGGTACGTCTGAACCATCCTGCAAAGTTTGAATGACGTAGGTTGAGCGATCGCTCCGCGAAACATACTTTTTGAAATTCTCTTCATAGTATATCTTCCACCATTGAAATTTCGAATTTCTTCAAAAAAAGGGCCGAGAGGGGTGGCTTGCAACCTCGATATGGCTTGTTCCAGGCATGCTTTGGAGCCATCTTCTGTTGAAGTAGTGGCGTGGATCTGCCCTGCAACTGCTACAACAAAAAAATGATTCGATCTGAGAAAGGGTGAGACCGCGAATCTCGGTTGAATATTGAGTATTTCAAGCCTTTTCACGACGAAGATGGAGTTCTTTTTGGAGATGGACGTCGCGGCAAAGGACATAGTGTCCGACTTCTGGCGTCTGGTGAAGCCAGGGATCATTTGTCCAGTCAGTTCGGCAGCCTAACCGTCGGTAAGCTTGTGTTTGGATCCCGTTCTCCTCGATGTGGTAGATCACAAACAATTTGATATCGCACAAATTGATCTCAGCATCGTGCGTACGGTATTTTATGTTCAGAAAATCCCAAAGTGTCTCTGTGTGGCCGTCCTATGCCACGAGAAACTCCAATCAGGCTCCTATGTCCTCTGCCTTCATGATTGAATGTCCACTTCGTTTGAACAACGAACACAACAATCGAGGATGGTTTTGCAATGAAAAATACAGCTATTGGAGCTGAAAAAAAGAAAGAAAAAACGTGCTCAGGATGAGACTTGAGTACACGCATACTCTCCCAGCAGGTGAAACGCAAATTTGTGTGAAAAATGCGTGTCGCCGACTGACCAGTAATTTCGCCTGACGAAACGTAAGTGTCACCTACAGCTACACAACACCGTACAAGTATTATGTATGAATATGCGGCTGTGTGAGTGTGTAATACCGGTAACAATATATTTATTTCAGGATTACCCAACAGCCAAGTCCTATTTTTTATTATTTTTTTATTTCACAGTCCAATGGCAGAAGCCAATGCAAAGGACGGGGCGTTAGCCAGCCATGGCAAGAGAAGAAAAGAATGAAGGAAAGAAGATGATAATCGGAAGAAAATAATGCATCAGCGGGGTGAAATGTATCACTATGTTGACCATGGTGGAGAGCGGAGAGATAAGCTAGCGAAAGAGGCGAGCGAGCCTACAACGTGGCATGACATTTAACATGGTCTATGAACTGTCTAATATTGGATATTGTATCTTGGGAATCTCCTATTTGAATATGTGCAAATGTGTTTGTATGATGTGTCCTGGCAAGCTCACTTATAAGTTATACACGTAGATCATGTCCATGATGCCTTCCCTGTGCACAGTACAGGTCCACCGCACTATTGTTTAAGATTTTACATGTTGGACTCAGTATAAAGCCCATGCACTATAATATCCAGCACCCTATATAGAGTCCATTGGTCCAAAATCCACTATACAGAGTCCAGGAGTCCGCTCAATTTTGATCAGCTCTGTCCATCCACGCAATCCCCTATAAGGAGTACAAGTCCCCTATTCACAGTCCAGGAGTCCATTTTATCTAGTCACGCCGTCCTGTGTGTAGTGCATGCCCGAAAGAGAACTAACATCTTTTCTGTTTTGCTTGTCTCGTGGCAGCGCATTCCTTTCTTCACTTCAGCCATGGCTGCCAGTTATGCTGTGCAGTTGCTGACAATAATCTGTATGGAGGTAACCGAGGAGGAAAAGAAAACGTTCAAAATCAAATCTGGATGCTGCACTTTGGCTCAATGATATCGGCCTGCTCATAAATGCCAGCAAAACACAGGTCTTGTACCACGACGATATAGATTGCCGTGATCACGAGCTCTTATGGATTTCCCTGGCAATGCACTCCGGAACAAAGACTGTTCTGGGTGCGCTCTACCGGCCTGGCTCTTGTGCAGAGACAGACACCAGCCTGATGGACTACCTAGACAACACTTTGGATGATGTCCGCCGTCTTGGCAGCAATGTGATAATTGCAGGGGACTTCAACGTGCATAATTCAGCCTGGCTACAGAGTAGCAAGACTACCCGAGCCGGCGAATGCCTGGAGGAAGTCTGCGCAGCACATCATCTTGTCCAGCATGTCACCCAGCCAACCCGCGGCAACAATACTCTCGATCTTATCATCTCCGATTTCCCACACCCCATA